GACCATCTGCACCATACCTCTTACCATAATAATCATAGTGTACCTGTCAATATATTATATATATATATATTTATTAAATAATTCGTTTTAAATAATTCAATGTTAATTATGGCAAATAAGTTATTATTAAATACTGATTTATAATTCCGTTTGATATCACAATAACTGCAAATAATATAAATTCTACATTTTAAACATAATATTGCACTATCAAAATTTCTTACATGACATAGACATAATCCTAAGCCGGGTGCAATTGGTATCTCCAGCTTATCCATTGTCTTAAATGCTTCATTGATTGTTTCCTCAGGTATAATATTTCTCACAACCGCGATTACAACTGCGACCATTTTTCGAATTTGATGTAGCATGAAACTTTGTCCTTTAATTTCCAATATCGCAAATTCCATACCATTCAAACTAAACGTTTCCACACAGTGGAACTTGATTATGTAACGTTGTGCTCGTGGATCTAATGGTTTTCTGAATAAAACAGAATGTGTGCTTTAGTTTTAAGTAATAAAGACAAATATATTCCTATGAATCAGTACTACTTACACTTTAGATGTGAAATTATGAAAATTGTGTGTGCCTTCCATAAGCTTCAAAATTGAGTTTAATCTATTTAAAGATTCTGGAGATAATCTGTAGTCAATATATGGTTTTCCAGCAATAGTTGACAATTGTTCGATTCTCTCATCTTCATTAACTTCTTCTCCAACTTTTAACAATGTCGGATCCTCCAGCGCAAATGCAAAAGTAGGAATAATGTATCTATACGTACGTGCATCACACTGGTTTTTGCTGTTAAAACCTTTTGTCACTCGCTTTATTCCAAATACTCTGATTACATCAGGTAGAAACTTATTTATTACTGTCTTGTCAGGCTTTTCCGCTGCAAAAAATATTTAATATTTAATAGTATAATAATATAGATTCAATATCTTAAATAAAAAAAATTTTTTAACTGTTTTTAAATTTGGTAACAAAATTCTGAATTTTATTAAGAGAATAATTATTTATGATAAAAAGTATTATTGTAAGGTTATTAGATTAAAATATAAATATTAATACAATCAATACCTTAAAATGAGATTTAACTTGCTAAAATTTTCTTAAAAATCTATATATATAGATATTAGATTAATATTATTAAAATATATCTTACGCAGCTTCAATGAAACAATTTGTCTAATTGCTGATACTCCTTTGTCTGTACGTGCAGCTCTTTGAAAATTGATTAAACGTATATTCTCAAAATGTTCTGCAGTTATTAAATCTGCCTTCAATAAGGCAGTAACCAAATCTTCTTCAATAGTTTTCATACCAGGATTTCTTTGCATGCCATAATAATCTTTACCAAGATAACCTAGTAACATAGCATGATTTTTCCTCTTAATCCTTTGCACTGTCTCTGTCTTTTGTATTTTAGCTTCAGTCTCGTTGCCATCGTCTAACATAGGTCTTTTCTCTCCATGCATAGTATTTATATCAGGTTGAAGTATAGAATCCACTGTGGTTGACATAGTTCTATGACAAGTGTTTTCTAAACAAAGATATTTATATGAATATTAGATTAATTTATAATTAATATTAATTAATTAATGTTAATTATTATTAAAATTATATTTAAAATATAGTTTGAATATAAAAAAACAATATAACTCAAACATTCTATTCAAGTCTGTCATATTGTTTTTTCTCATATGTTTTATATTTTTATAAGAGAACTTATTTTATATATAAATCAATTTGTTTATATATTTTTATTTAATATACTTTGTATACCTAATTGAATCTTTAACCAGCGAAGTGTAGAATTATTTAAGAAGCAGTGTTTTGTCTTGTACAACATTAGCAATTAATTTTTTTCCTTTGTTTTATAAGTATATATATCCTATATTTAAACAATTCAAACTTCCTTTTCTCTTGTCCTTTAATTAATTGAAATTCACGTCATTTATATCATTTTTAGAAAAAAATAACATTTGCAATACAACGTATAACCTAACACTTAACACCTGACACCTAACAGTCCTAACATCTAACACGAGATTTTATTTCCAAAGTCCCTCATAAAGCAGCGCTATTACATTTACTTTTGAATTATTTAGCTACATTTACTATGCCGATAAAATCATCAGCAAAATTATCGGCAATGCAACCAGTATTTCAAACCACGCTGACCCGCTGACGTCGCTGACTTCCATAAGAATGGCCGCGTTCAGCAGAGAAAGCGCTCAGTTATCGTCTTGTCAACACTTGACGTTGATTCGTTGGTTCTAAAAGTAAGAACCAATCACATTCGATTGCTACTAAGCGGTTTTCTCTGCTGAACGCGGCCAATGGCTGCCAGGCTGCCTCGCTTCATTGGTCGTCGGTGTGTCGGACTGTCGGATGGATTTCGGCATGATTCGCGCGATGCAACATAATCTTGAAACGTGAAATAAAAAAAAACGAAGTTTAATAAAAACATTATTTAAAAACACATAATTTATGTGTGCGATCGTGTTCTTGTATACAATTCTTAATAAATAAGGTCTCTAAAAATGCTAGCAAAATATGTAAACTCAGTATTCACTTATGGGAAATTCATACAGGTTAGGTACAGCTCTATTTTTTAAAAGAGAACTAAAAAATCTGCAATAACTAATTTTTCTCACTTAGTTTTTATAATATCAAATAATAAATTATGAAGAACTATTATAGATATTAATATGGTCCTTCCTACATTATAAAATTAGGGACACCATAATCAAATAATCAAATAATTTTATTTTATTTTTATTAGTTTAAAATATATAAAACTACTTTAGAAATTATATATATTAACTTATATATATATGTAGTTATAACTTTTAAAGTAATTAAAAAAAATTATATATATAGATGTTTTATATATATAATGGGAGAATCATTTATTCAAGTACATAGAATTGTAATACTACAAATGTTAAACATACGGAGAGATATCTAAACAGACAGAATTTTATTTCAGAACAAACTGTCGTTGCTTGGTGCTATTAATTATCCTAATGACTTTACACAAGTCAGGTATATACAAAAGCACTGGAATCCAAAATGGAAGAAATTAAGAAGAGAAAAAGTTATTAAAGTAAAGCTTCCATCATTTGATGATGATAATGAAGATCCTACTAAAATGGATAAGGAGCAAATACGATCGCGTATGAGAGAGTTTGGTTTTATTCCACAAAAAGCTTGGCAGGAAAGACCAACATTTATCACCTCTACTCCTACAATTTTTGAATCTTATGTTGCTCCTGAAGGAGATGGAAAGTATTCTGCTATCACCAAAGAGGTATTCTCTTTCTTTTTGTTTCTAGTTTAGTGATATTGTTTATAACATGTATAATATAATTTGGAAAATATAAAATACACAAGAAACAAATTTTATAAAATATAAGATATATTGTCCCAATTTCACCAAAAAAATTTGTTTGCTAACACTAATAGTCTGCTGAATTTTAATAATAAATCTAATATATATGATATAAAGAATATGTATGCATTTTTTAAATCATTTATTTTATGATTGCTAATATAGGGAGCAAAACAAAAATTTACATTTTTGGAGAAAAAGGGCAAATCTGTAATGGCCATTAGAAAAATTAAATCGTTTGATGATACATTTAAGACATCCTTTTTTATAGAAGAGGCTACAGATATTTATCAAAAGGCACATGAAGCTTTAGCTGCGTAAGAAACACAATAGATATATAATATTTTTATAATTTTCATTATACAAATAATATTGCAAATTAAAGACATTATGAAAGAATAAAATTATGAATTAAAGAATTATGAAAAATATCAATAAATAAATATTGTCTTTATTTATTTATATTAACATTATTAAATAAAATGAGTGTTTTAATTTCAGAAAAGATGAAGAGAAGTTAATACAATACGTTACAGAAACAGCATATCCTGTAAGTTTAAAATTTATATCATTGTTGCCAACTCAAATGAACACAAATCTATGTTCATATAATATTATTGTATATTACAATAATTTTTACATTTTTAGAAAATGATACACAACTTGATGGATAAAACTATACACTGGAAGTTTTTAGAATCTTTGGAACCAGCTCGTGTTGTGCACGCAAGAACTACAGATATAATAACGAAGGAGAATGTTTTTGCACAACTTACTGTTCGATTCCACACACAACAGGTAACTTATTCTTCATAATTTATTTCTTTTATACAATATTAATGATCTCTAAACTAGAAGATCTCCTCTTTCTTTGCAGATATTAGCGATTTATGATAGGTTTGGTCGCTTAATGCAAGGAAGTGAGATTCTAAGAAAAGATGTATTAGAATACATAGTATTCGAAAAGCATTTAGCTAATGAATACGGCATTTGGCGAATTCATGGTAAAATTATACCACCTTGGATGTCTGCGACAGACATAGCAGAAGGCACATATATTCTAAAAGATTCAAAAAAAGAAGATGATCCTGTACCCACTGAGCCTCATCCTGTGGAAGCTACCTTAATAGAAGATACGTCAAAAGATATGCCAAAGAATGTGACGAATGCACCATCTTCGTAAATTATAATAAACAGGTATGCTAAGTAATAATTGTATTGTATATTGTTGGTAAAATAAAAAATATATTCATATAATAATCGAAATGCCTCTTTTTTTATTCAAACAAAATTTTATAATAGCGCATTCACAAAGTACATGCATTATTTTTAAGTTATCTTAATTTTAATTTTTATTAATGAGCAGTTGATTATGATTACATACAACACATGAGAATACAAAAAATATTCTTTAAAAGTTTTCTTTTGACATTACTCACACATATGCAGCTACACTTATATCATTATATCTTTAATTAATATATATTTAATTAATGTAGTACACACACATATTGTAACTTATTACAATTTAGTAAATAATTTTTAAATGCATATCTTTAAATTTCTACTTACAAGTCAATTTTTATAGATTATATATATTTACAATGATATAAGTGAAAATAATCACAATTGCTTGAGTTTATAAGCAAACACGACTTTTTCAATTATGAAGATAATAACAGCAATTATCATCCCACAACACAACACTGCAATTACTAAAGAAACTTGATATATCTCAATCGGTTGCGATGCCTCGTCATCGTAATTCTGTTTAATTTTTTGTCCCAACCAACGATTCTTTAACATATTCAATAATCCAATTTCCTTTAACTTGAGGATCCTATTCATAAAAATTATTTGTTTATGTATCGAATTACTATATGTGATTGTGATTATTAAATTATTGTTTTATAAAGTTCTAAAAAAACACCAATATATATCGAGTATCCCAAAAATTAAATTGCTGTATCGATCTGTTGTATACATGAATATTTCTCAGTGGAGAATCAGTTTAATCAATGATTAAGTTATTTGGCTTTACATCTATTTGTTTTTATTTATTTTAAAATAATTTATATATATTTAAGAAATTATAAAATCTGATTTTACAGTAATAAACATGTATAGTAGGAGCTCTTTTCTATCGATTTCATGCAAGTTTCTATTATAAACAAATATTCAATGGTGGAAATTACAAAATTAAAATAATCTCGCGTATAAATTTTATTTAAATATGGATAGATCGTATTTATTAAAGAACTGCATGATTTACTGCTGATTCCTATAATTTATATAAAATACTTTGTCTAAAATATTATTTTATGCACATATTTCTTTACCCAAGATCCACGGTCCTTTTGTACTTAAAATTTTTTACAATGCCAGAAGCTACCCATATTTTTACCAAAGGTCTTCCAGTTGGAATCAAATGACACATAGCATGTTCTCTCATTTTGTACTCATCTTCACCTTGGTATATAGCATATTTCTTTTTTTGCGAGAAACATGCAAATTTTTCCATATTCTCAGTAGTTGATATTATAATCAAGCGTTTTGCCTTTCTTGCTTGTACAATCCGCGGATCAGAGTGTGCCTACAAATTTTGAATAGCAAAAATTTAAGCGTATGAAATAAAAGATTTTAAATACATCTACAGAACATTAAATAATGTTTTAAACACACACACACACACACACACACACACACATATATATATATAATATAACGTTATTAAGCATATATTTATCAAAATACCTTAAATGCCATAGCTCCAGTAGAACCTTTCAGACTGACAACGCTGTACTTAGTATTAGCTATTAAAGAAGTGAAACTATGGAATGGTGGTATATAAACATTCTTCGTTATATAAATAAATAATACAGCACCAAATGCTATGTATATTAAAGAACAAAAAAAGCCTAGCGTTACTTCTAATATCCTTGATCTTCTATTTAGGAATTCGGGAATGTAGCCTTTATAAATATATATATAAATATATATAAAAAATTATTACTATATTACAAATTATATATAATAATTATCACATATATTACAAATTAATGATAATTTCTCATTGTCATTGTTATGATTACATAATATATTTATTTTATAGCATATTAATTTATTTTTTTCTTAAGAAAAGTGAGCATATACTAATCAATAATTTATACGTACCTTGATTGCAGAGATTTCCGAAGTTATAAAATAAATGTTCATTGAAAGAGGTGTTTTGGTACTTATCTTTATACCATACAAGAATATTCTGCGTTAAAAAGGTGCATATACTTATAAGTATATACATTATGAATATAATGCCCCATATTTGCCAAGAAAAAACTCTTATCATCCATTCATTGTCGTGTATCACTTCACGACGAATATACAAATGATAGCTTAAAAATTATTTTAAAATTATTAATCATCTATAATATAATTTAATTGATGTTAAGCTACTATCAATCCTAAGCTAAAATACAAAGTTTTCAACAAATTTTGTATTAACAACGAATAAAAAAAAAGCAAAGAAAAACCAAAATTTAAAAATTTTGGTAAATTAAACTGATATACCTGTTTATTCCAAAAGGTACTGTAAAATCAAGAGCCATAATTCGTTCGACAAATGTATCAATCTTTGGTATTGCAATAGTTTCATTGCGAGTAATAATACCTAACAATCCTTTTTTATAAGTTCCGTCGTCCTCTGGAACACCCATGCCGTCTACATTTACTCTCACTGGCTGTAATCTAAAAGAGTGAAATATCTTTTGATTATTGTTTGTCATTAATTTTGATATCATAACATGAAAGTCTGTTTTAATCTAATCTAATCTTGCGATGTAATCTTACGTAAAGTTTAACAATTCGGAAAGAAGGATCCACATTTCACCGCAAATTCCTGTAACTTTCGTATCGTTATCGTAAAAATCAAAAAAATACTCTTCCTGAAAAGAGAATATAATCGATGAAATTATCATTCAATCCCTCTTTAATTGATACTATTTATATAATAGCACATTATTTAGCAAGTTACATTTCTGTTAACTATTTATTCTTTCACGTAAATATTTACAATCTCGATTAAAACTGAAATGTGAGATACCGCAATTTTAAACATTACAACTAAAATTTTATATAAAGATAGAATAAAAATAAAAGTTTTAGTCATGCTTTTATTAATTAACAAATATTGAAAAGATAATATTAACGACAAATATACATATATATATTTTTTTTCTTTCAATACCTTGAAAGATGTTACAGTCAAATTCTGCAGTTGAAAATTGTGGGTCTCGAGTGCTCGACTCTGTCTGCGACGTTCTTGTTGTATCATCGCAAATATCGGTACACTGGAAATTGGCACGAAAGTCTTTTGTATCTTGCTCCAAATAATACCGTTCATTGTCTCAGACGACGGAATTCTATGCAATATAATCATAAATAGCAGTCGTTTTATAAAAATATATTGTTAGCGTGCCTTACAAAATTTACAAGGTTTTTGCTTTGGTAGCGAGACTCGAATTATTTACATATCTACTAATATATTCAAGATCAATATCCAAGAAAAAATGATTATCATTAAGTTGGTTCTGTGATAGATGAAAAAAGGTATGCCATCACACATGTCATTTTAGATAAAATCTATCTTTTTTGAAAAATTGCGTTATGCGTATGTCAGATCACAGTCTTGAGATTATTCTATTTATTTTTATTTTCTATATTTTATCAAATATCTGCAAAAATACATGAAAGAATAGTTATGCAAATGGCTGTATATTGCAAATATAAATATATAAAAATAAAATAAATAATAACAACGAGTAAAATAAAATCAATACGTAAAAATATACAATCTATTCAATATTTGTTTTAGAACTATTATTTTTAATCGGAAGAAATATATCTCATATCGGGGATTTTATGTTATGCCTATATAATTTATCGCAACTAATCAATTTTAAACGTGATAACGATTTGCATAATGTTGCCGCGCTTTGATATATTATCACGAAACTAATGGGCGCATTGAAGGCGATAGAGGTCAATTTTATGTCGCAAATTTTCAACACAAATGCAATATGAACTAATTGCGTATATATACAATAACAAAATTTTGAAGTTTTGAGAAGCGTTAGGTAGTAATTTTAAGAAAGTACAGATTACGATTTATCTTATCGTAACTTCAGTTACTCGATGCATAATTATTATTGGAATCTATGTTCTTCAATTACATACATATTTTTATATTAAAATATATTAGATACACTTAAAGCATCTGTTTTCTTTATATTATTTTTTTTTTATCTGAAGATTTTAAAGGTTACTAATAAAAAAATTTTTTGTACAATATATCCATAAAAAAACGAAATCATTACTTTTATATTATAATTACATTACATTAATTTTATATTACGTTACAATTATTTAACTTGTACGATTAAGTACTCGTAAGTGTAACAAAAGGCAACGAGTTTGTTTCAAAGCAAATACTTTGCGCGTTTTATTCGCATAAAATAGGTATCGACACAATAGGAATTGATATAAACTATTGTCTTATGATATATATATATTTATAATGATTGTCATATAATAAAATCATATTTTAATAATTTTCGACCGCGTAGAATATAAATCTATAAATACGGTGTTTGTGTGACCATCGATGATTTGTTAAAACGATCGATCGAGAGTGATCGTGAGTATCGAATTTCGCGCCCTTTTTTCCGTCATTTTTCCGCGTTATATTCCCGCCATAATCAACATTAAGTTGCCGACGTCATTCCGGAGTCGGTAACGAGACATCGCGAGCGCGGGACAGATCGATCTTGAATCGCGATGCATTTAATTGGTGAGTAAGCGATATTTAGCATTATATTTTAATAGTTTTTGACTGTGCGTAGCACATATATAAATCCGATGTTATTATTGTTTACGCGGTCACATATTGTTGTCATTCGCGCAACAACATTCGAATAGGTAGCCAGCGACGCGATGCGCTACCATATATGTTACGCATTAATTTTCAAGCGCGATTGCGAAAAGGGATCATTCTCTGCTGAGTGATTAATGAGTATGTCATTTTGCGCAATTATTTAACTTGTACGATTAAATAATTCGTAATCGTATCGAGAGAGAGAGAGAGAGGCGACGATTTGTATTTCGAAGAAAATATTTCGAGCGCTTTACTAGCCTCGTGAAGTATATACCCAGTAAGCAATTTGATAACAAATTGTTGCCAAATTGGCATCAAATTCGCTCAAAAATGGTTTCTGCCGCCAATTTGCTGTCTATTTATGTTAGCAAGCTTTGCTTGGTTCTTGCCGGCAATCTGCCAGCTTAATCGGTAATAACAACTCTTGTACCAAATTTGTAGCCTTTTTGCTGACAATAATTTGTAGCAAGCACTTGGCAATATCTGTTAGAACAGATGTGGCTGACTGGGTAGATATATCGACGCGTCGTATCAATGCGAAGCTGCTGACATTCCGAGTCGGTAACGGTCGCGGGACGGATCGATCCTGAATCGCGAGGCATTTAATTGTTGAGTAAGTCATAATTGCAATCATATTTGAACAATTTTTGATTGCGCAGCATGTAAACCCAGTATTTGGCGACGCGCAACGTATTATTTACGTGCGATCGTCTTGTCATTCGCGCGGAGACAATCGAGCAAGTAGGTCAACGGCGCGACATTAGTTTTTGAGACGCGTTTGCGAAAAGTACCACGTCGAACACATCGATCATAATGTACAAGTAAATAGTGAGTATCACAATCGGCGGAATTACTTAATTCGATTAAGCAATTAAACGTATCGCGGCGACGGCTGTTTGTCGAAGAAAATATTTCACGTGCTTTATATTTATACTTGAGTAGATATCGATAGATATATTTATGTAAATCATTGTGTGTGTGTGTCTTATAATATATATATATATATA